AAATTTTTATTCATCTCAGAAGTAATATAATTTTGTTTACAATATTTATATTAATTATAATTGAGTAATGTAACGTCGTACATCGGTTGTGCCTGACAGACGCACTTGGAGCGTTAAAGGTTATACTACATAACTTTTATAGAGCTCTGATTTCGCAAGAATATTGACTTTTAAGACACTTTTATAGCAAGCAAAACAAAAAAAAAACGAAGAAGGTGTTCTCTAAAAAATATTACATAATCAAATATCTATACAGAGTTCAGAAAACGAAACTTGTCAAATCCATCACTTTTTTACAAACAAAAGTAACGTTAAGTAAAGTTACGTCTATAACAAGCGCATGAAATTTATAGCTTCCTTTGTATCATCGTTTTATTATACTTCGATAATACACACAAAGGCCGCAGGAATTTGAGCCGATTAGAGTACATCACGTAAAGGTTGTTGAATTTGCATTTCGAGTATACTTAGGATGTCGAGTTAAATTGTGCGATATACCGCGCTAGTTAACCCAATAACCTACAATTTTCTAGTTGCCAGAATAGGCAGATACGTCATTCACAGTTTACTAATTATTGCTATAATATGAAGACAAAGGAGGCCTATATTTCACACGGAACAGTTTTACATATATAAGGATGGCTAAATAATACACACGGAAACTAGTTTTACAAAATACATTATTGTCGGAATTCTTTCCTCGCGGTCTCTAAAAATGTCTCTTCCAAAATGCGCTAATAAAATGTTCTCAGGTTTGATCGAAGGTTTTATTAGCATCCCCACTTCGCATTTTCGGGAAAAACAATTTCGCCAGTACTGTGGGCCTGGAAGGGTCTGGAAATCATTTGGCGAGAGGATGAAAGTGACCAGGTCCCAATTCTATCCGAAGTCTCTGATTTATTCGTTACAGTACAATTGCTCTTACACATATAATATTATCGTCCGATTTCTCTTCACGTTCTTCTCTAAAAACCGCCAAAAAAATGTGTCGTCCTCGTGCTTTCCCCAAGGTTTTATGCGGAATGCATCCCCACTTTACATTTTTAGTACAAACAAACTCGTTAAAACGCGTCGTTACTACGGTCCTGGAAAAAGTTCTACCAACTCGGTTCCAATCTACGTTGAGAGTCCCTGATTTCTGATGGTCCTAAAGCTACTCTGGTTGTTAAATATTCCCCTAAGAATTGTTTAGTTTTATTTAGATTTAAGTGAAATTGTATAAGTTTGGGTTATGTATGTTCTCACTGTAAAATAACCATATTTATTCGTTATTCACAACATCACTTAAATCTAAATAAAACTAAACAATTCTTCGGGGAGTATTTAACACTGGCCATCGTGCCTACTAATTGTTTACTCGCTTTCACAGATACATGCAAACTTAGACACATTTCGTATTCAATGTTATTTGATTATAAAGAATATTAGGTTGGGGAATAAGTTCGTAGCGTTTTGACATTTTCTTTTTTTTACAGCGACATTTTGCAATTTGCAAGGGGTTATAATATTCATCCGATAGAGCACTTTCTGCTTTACAAAACTGTGTTAATCGTTTTTTTCAGTAGATTCATTCGTCATTACTATTGAGGCTCAGAAATAGAATATCAAGAAGGTAAAAAGCAGTGAAATGGAATATCAAGAAGGTAAAAAGCAGCATTTTCGACACCTGTCCTTCTTCGCTTTCCATCGCGGCCAAAAAGCTGCTGAAGCAGCCCGGAATATTTGCAATGTATACAGAGAAGGTGTCATAGGTGAGTCGACAGCACGGAAATGGTTTGCAAAATTCAACCTAAGGTTGGGCAAAAAAATCGCGATTTTAACATCGGAAACCCGCCCCACAGCGGAAGACCTTCTGAGTTCGCCGAAAAGCGTCTCCGAGCACTTGTGAAGCAGGATGGTCCTCAAACTAGTCGTGAATTGGTCGAAAAAATGAACTGTGACCACAAAACTATTCTCAATCATCTCCATTCAATGGGATTTGTCGAAAAATTGGGAGCCTGGGTGCCTCACGAAGTGAACCCTACGAACTTCTTGCCCAACCTTAGGTTGAATTTTGCAAACCATTTCCGTGCTGTCGACTCATCTATGACACGTTCTCTGTATACATTAAACCTGTTTCAGCAACTTTTCACAACTTTTCACAACTTTTTGGCCGCGATGGAAAGCGAAAAAGGGCAGGTGTCGAAAATGCTGCTTTTTACCTTCTTGATATTCCATTTCAGAGCCTCAATAGTAATGACGAATGAATCTACTGAAAAAAACGATTAACACAGTTTTGTAAAGCAGAAAGTGCTCTATTATCGCATGAATATTATAACCTTTTGCAAATCGCAAAATGTCGCTGTAAAAAAAAAAAAATGTGAAAACGCTACGAACTTATTCCCCAACATAATATAATAAAAATCGAACTTAGAATTCCGTTCCGGTGAAAATACGAGTTTGGTTTATAACGTATGAACTGTATAGCGTGCGTCACGAGCATGACACGATATTGCAGGACAACGGATTAATCAAGAGATACATGTACTATCTACACAGTTCGCATGTTTCGAATGGTAACCCTGAAGAATTAGTATATCAATGCATTAATATGCAAGAACGATTCCAAGAATCGATAGAACATGAAAGTAGTGCACGTTGCTGCAAATGTTACAGTTGTGCACAGATATGCAAAGTCGTACTCTAGGTTTGGTAAGGCACAGATGCGCTATTATCGATTACCAGTATCTTATTGGTTTGAAAATTCGGAATCTCGGGTTTGGACTAATTGAACCTTTGGAAATATGAGAGTTTGAAAGATTCGGGGAATTTAGGGATTTGGAAAAGTGACATTTTATTATTGGTTATAGGTTGAAATAAATGCCACCATCTTTATAGATTTAATTTATATATATGTAGACAGAGTTACACTTTGCAAATATATAATAAGAAAGAGAAAAATAACGAATTAAGAGATACATAAAGTTTCACATAACTATTACGACTGAACAGCTCGGAAGAAGCACGTGCAGTGGGACGCGGACCGGTAACAGGAAGAAGATCGTCGATTTTATGCGATCCGTGGCGCTACTAGTATACGCGCCAAACAACCGATATTTTAAACGTCCACGTTGGCTGCTTCCTCAATACATTTAAAATTTGAGAATTTAGACATTTGATAAACTGAGAACTTCGGAATTTAACAATTTAGGAATTTGGCAATTTGAGGGTTTAAAAATTAAGAAACTTGGCAATTCAAAAAATTGTGAATTTGGAAATTTTAGAATTTAGGTATTCAAGAATTTCGAAATTTGGACATTTGGGGATTTGAGAATTTGGGACATTGGGAATTTTGGAATTTAGGAATACGAGGATTTGGAAATTTGGGAATTTGGAAATTTTAGAATTTAGGAATTCAAGGACTTGAATATTTAGAAATTTTGGGATTTGAGAATTTGAGAATTTGAGAATTTGAGAATTTGAGAATTTGAGAATTTGAGAATTTGAGAATTTTTGAGAATTTGAGAATTTGAGAATTTGAGAATTTGAGAACTTGAGAATTTGAGAATTTGAGAATTTGGAAATTTCGAAATTTAAGAAATTGGCAATTTCCGAATTTGGTGATTGAAGAGTTCAAACATTCGGAAATATTGTAATTCGGAAACTTAGAAAATTTAGTGACTTAAAAACTTGAGAATTAGCAAAACTGTTTAAATTTCAAGAATGCAGGTTGGAATTTGAGAATTTAACAGTGTAGGAATTTGAATATTTTACAATTTGAAAATTCGAAAATTTCAAAACATGAAACGCCAAAATTTTACAAGTTGAAAATTGAGGAATTTGAAGACTAAAATTTTCGGTATTAAAAATTTGTAAATTTAGGAAGAGGAGACTTACATTTCAAACTACTTTCAGCTTTCAAAATTTGGAAAAAAGTTTCTTTAAATTAAGGGGAGATCTAATTACAATTACAAAATTACATTTTCCTTTGAGTATATTATTAACCCTTTTGACTGTAATACTCTGTAAAAAATTTACCATGGACTTTTAAATAGATATTTATGAAAAGGAAAATTCATATATTCAAGACAAGAAAGTATTGAAAATATTGATATTTTATACATTCAGATATCTGTTTTATGCTATATAAAAATATTCTTTTTCATTTATATTTTATGTAACAATAAAGCAGATATCTGAATGTATAAAAATATGTACAGGGTGTCCCAGTTTTTTTCAGCCAGACTTTACCAGCGTGTCTTACACGCAAAAATAAGAGAAAAATATTAGGTGAACATTTGCTTTTAAATATTTTATTAAGGAGTTATAACTAATAATATAGTTGTATATAAAATATACAAATTCCAAAAACACGTATCCCCTATTTTTGTCTATAGTTTACGTACACGGAGTTGCAAAAAAATAGATCAACATTTAGTGCAAAAATTTAAACAAAAATTGTAAATTTTCAAAATATTATTTAAACAAATAAAGTTTATTGAAATTTTTTTCGCACAAAAATTGCCTATTAAAAGACCAACAATTTACAAAAAAAAGAATCCAATTATCTTCTTTGTTTCCGGAGATATTCCCAAAAATATGATTTCCACCCCCAACTTCGAGGGCTATTTTCACCCCTTCAATATGCACGATTGCCGATAAAAAGATACGTGTCAAATATTTTTTTGAGGACTATATCTCACATAAGTTTCATCAAAATCGGTGTGTCGTGGTTCGATATGTTGCCTTGTAAGTTAACATATAGATGGCCACGACCACTTACATATTTAAGGTGCAATTCGATTAGTGTGGTAAATCCTACATGTGGACATACTGTATATAAAAGTCCGTCAATTTAGTAAAAGAATAATTGTGTTTAGCAAAAACGTAATTGCCACATGTGCATACGTATACGCCCTTTGCACTGAAAGGTTAAATTGCAGCATTCTAACCTTATCTCATTTATTTTTCAGATGCGACAAAGACAACTCGTAAAACAACGGAAGCTTAATGACGTCAAAGAGAATAAAGTTCTTCATTCATTATGCAGTGTACAAACATAAGAGAGAGAGTTCCGCTTCGTTCAAACTCGTAACGAAAATTTGATACAAAAAACGGAAGTAAATGAAGTTGAAATGTCGTTTTCGGATCATAACATTTCGGACAAAGCGTTAAAACACGAATACGGTGTTCAATCTGACATGGATCAACTATTTGTCAGCAATATACCGCAGCTATCGACGATGACTTCTGTCACTGTTAACATTACGCTGTCAAACATTACGCAATCAGGACAAGCTGATCTTCTGGAAACTTTAATTATACCATTATACGGGACTATATTTCTACTTTCTATAATTGGAAATTCGCTGGTGTTAATTACGCTGGCGCGAAACAAGAGGATGAGAACAGTGACCAACGTTTATTTGTTGAATTTGGTAAGTGAAATTGAAATCGTTAGTTTATTTTTATCGGTTCGTGTTGAAAGAGCTTTTGTTTGTTTTTGGATGTTTTATTTTATTCACGGATGAATGAAGTATTTTCTATTGTCCTGTTTCAGCATTTCACTATCTGAATACACGCGATAGATGCATTTTAAAGTGCCCTTTATGAGTCCGTTTTATATTCTTTGTTTGGCGAAGGCTGCTGGATTTTTTTATCATTTGTATAGAAATACAGAAGATTATTTATATTGGTTTTTTCTGCTTCATTTTAAGTACACATTTTTTTGATAAATATCACACAGTAGAGATATATTTTATATTTCGTATTTTATGTTTCACATCTTACACTTTCTATTTTCTGTTTTCTATTTTCTATCTTCTATTTTCTATTTTCTATTTTCTATTGCATACTTGGTACTTTGCATTTGATATTTAATATTTGATATTAGATATTTGATATTTGATATTTGATATTTGATATTTGATATTTGATATTTGATATATGATATTTGATATCTGATATTTGATATCTGATATTTGATATCTGATATCTGATATTTGATATCTGATATCTGATATCTGATATTTGATATCTGATATCTGGTATCTGATATTTGATATTTGATATTTGATATTTGATATTTGATATTTGATATTTGATATATAACATTCGACAATCGACACTCGATGTCCAATATTCGACATGTGATGTGTGATATGTGATATCTAATATTTAATATTTTATAACTTATATTTATCATTTAATATTTTATATTATATATGTATATATTTTATATATTATATTTTGTATTTCATACTTTATAATTCATAGTTTACATTCATATTTTATATATTATATTACATACTTCATATTTTATGTCCCATACTCAAATATATATTACACGTGCTGAATAAAAAAATATACATCTATGACTATCGTAAATTAATCATTAAGTATTTAAGTTTACTTTATAAACATAATCAATTTTACTTTTCCTTTTAATTATTTTAAAAATACCCCCTTAATCCACGTTTCTAAAAGTAAATATTTTTACCGGTATTTTAAACATGTAATTCGAAGAAAACATTTTTATTCCGTTTACATTAACCCTATGTCATAAAGCAAATATACCCAGCTCAGTTTATTAACTTACCTCAATTTTTCTGCAATCGAATCACATCATATTTTCTGTACTTTCCGTTATTTAATATGTAATAGCCAAACAGAATTATTCTACGTGGTATTTACATTAAGAATTGCGAGATTTCTAAACAAATAATAGTTAAATGAAGCAACGTTCGATGAATACAAAACAGAGGTAGCCATCCGAATGAAGCCCAACTTCGGCCTGCTTATGTAATGTACACATTCCCGTCACGTAAGGTTAGGTCGGGGAAGAAATGTTAAGCAAGTGTCCTCTTGATTTTGATGAAACTCGGATACAATGTAAACCTCGATATGTTACATGACACGTACTCTTTTATAGTGGTGAGGTTCATATCTAGGGGCTGAGAATAACCCTTCGAATTGGGGATCAGAAATGTAGACATGAAAGTCGACGTTACGGAACAGTTCTGTGAATTTGTAATTTTTGTGCTTTCTTTGACAAGTATCTATGAAAACAATTTTTTAAACAATCACTTCGTTTAAACAGTGCCTATATACAAATTTACCGTGCAGTTATAAAATTTTCTTATGGAACGATAATCTATATACATATATAAAAACAAGTGTATTTGTACGAAATTAATAGACTTCGACACTGTTTGACCAATCACGGTGAAAGTTGGCACACATATGTATTTTTCCATGGAGAAGGTTTTTAGGTACATAAAAAACGGGTGGGGTAAAAAAGGGGCGTAGCAAACCAATAAAAATGAAATAATTCGGTACATAATAATCATAGACAGACATAATTTGGTGGGTATGTACCTGATGGTTGTCGATAATCCTACAAAAAATAGACTTTAAGTTAGTTGAATCACAGAGCGAATTCTTAATAAAAAAATGTATATCATCAACTTATACCAACACAAACAATGAAATCTCATCAGTACAAGCTATCTCTCATTTTTCAACATCTTTCTACAACGAATTATAGATTCTAGGTTACATGCAGATAATCCATTTTTATGTGTATGGAGGTCAATAAATATGGACAGACAGGGCAACGTCTGTCGGGTTTTGGCAGTATATCATAAAAATTAATCTGCTTACATACGCGAATTATAAAGTAGAACTAAAGCCAGGATGAAATGAATTTTTTATAAAATTATTAGACACCAAAATATTTCTATTTTATTTCTATATTTTATACATAATGACGAATCCGAAAGTATGACTTCCGCGTGTAATAAGAATGTATTTATTAAGGTAATTATTAAGAATGTAATTATCAAAACATATTAATAATGTGATTTATCAAAACATATCTATAATGTTAACTAACAATGTTAGTACTAGTTTCTCACAAAATTTATTTTCAAAAAGAGATCGTACGTTGCTGCAGTTTCTACTAAGATCGCCATCAAAATTCAATACAGCATTTGATTTTTGCTTAAATTCCTTGCGTTTGCTCAGCTTCAGCTTTCATCCGGCATTGTTTATACTAACACCGTCGTATTTATACACAGTTTGCATTTCATTCAATCACCTGTGCTAAATTGCTTTCTACTCTGTGTACCCATTTACAATGGAAATGTATTGATACGTCCCTGTTGCAAAGCGTCCAAGGAATGCTCGAAAAAACGTTGGATTTGCTTTTAATCAAATGGAACAAGAACATTTTAGAAGTTAAATCCTAGCAACGGAACGATTGATTTAAAAAACAAATATTGGGGAATTCGTCGATATATGACGTAAATTTCATTTTCACAAGATCCTTTTAAATTATCTTTTTATTCGAAATGATTTTTTTATTCCAATATTATCCTTTTATTCCAAATTTATTTCTTAAGAAGTTTACTACATGTAAAATTTAACATCACAGGTTTTTAAAATTCAGAAATTTTTCAGCTCTAAAATTCTCTACCAAATTTTTCTTATAACAAACGAATGAATTCAGAAATTCTCGTATCGTCAAACTTTTAAATCGAGAAATTTTCAAATCTATCTTCCGTGTGCAGGATGCATAAATCTCTTCCCATATGGGAATGCAATGTCGGTGTACTAGGTTTCCTATAATATTGTGCACTTTTATTTGTTCCCATTCTCTGTCGTAATATTTTTCTCATTCTGGGAAAAGTTGTATTTCAAATGCTCTATTATTTATTGCGTTGTAGCGATGGGAGCAATATTTCATGAAAATTCTTGTGGAAGGTTATTCAAGAACAATAAGACGCTAAAGGAGCAAATTACGACAGCTTTGATTCCTTCTTAATACGTTTATAATTTGGAAGCACGTACTCTGCAGAAATTGTGATTAATAACACTTCCACCAAATTCTCGCCAAAATTATTCGTTGCAAATCTCTTGATTTATTATTCTAGTTAGATATTTATCAAATATTTCAAATTGCAATGAAAGCAGAAAATAATTACTCCTCTTCAGTATTATCTTCCCCTTGTAAATGTTAAACTTTATATTGTATATTTTTCGCAAGATCTTCAGACACGTTAATGAAACCAAAACTTTCCTTTACGACATGAAAAATTTTCAATCTGAAATTTTGGATAAACCGAAACTTTTAAATGAAATAAACATATCTGCACATACATGATCAAGGTGACTTAGTCCTTGATCCGTGTTCATAAATATTTCGTTCCCAAAATACTTCAAAATTACTCTTCTATTTTAGGTCAATTGTCGCAACTCACAAGGCTGATGACTATCTCCTGAATAGTGCTTACGCCCGAATTGATTGTGATTTTAACGAAGGATCGATATGAGCGTACTGTAATTTATTAAATGCGTGACTATTAAAGTCCCTTCCAGATACAAAAAAATTGCGTGTCCAACGTAACACCACTTAGCAGTTCTTCGTTGCTGAAAATTTGCCTTTCCAAAGTTGGAAAAAACGAACCATTCTCCTACCAGACTTTAGGGTGTTATAATTTTAGGGTGTGTCAGAACAAACTCAATTTTTATGACGGTGAAAACGCACAATTTATTTCGATTATCGTATAATAAACGTATTATAATTTAGTTCGATAGCGAGTGATAGACAAAGCAATTTGACGATTTACGATATCAAATCAAGTATCAGTATTACAATCAAGTAACGAAATATTTGATCAAGCATCGAAAGTCTTTGCACAATGTCAAAATATGAAGTCCGCAACGACAAATACGAAGTAAACGCGCAATGGTAAAATATAAAGTACAGTCCGTAATGACAAATACGAAGGAAATCCCGTTGTGACAAAATATAAAGTGAAGTGCGGGCCCCGGTGCCCTCTCTTATTTTATATGTTTCATTCCCCTACGACGACTCCTAGCAACCACTCGATTTCTTCGAAATCTGCCATGTGCCCTCCGTCGACCTTAGCTTCGCGGTCATCCCTCTACGACCGAACCGCCGAACCTCGCGATGCCGCCCGCCCTTTGCGGCCGAACCGCCGCGCGCCGTTACCCATGTCGCGCCGGCACTTGCCGGTACCCGCCGTCACTTACCGGTAACCGCCATCAAACGGAGCGGTCCGCACCTTTGTATGCGTTTCTGGAAAATTACGCATCAGGAGACATCGCTGAGGAGTGTCTTTCTTTTTTGCCGAAGTGCGCACCAGGGTTCGCCGGCATTTCGCGGTGCATCAAACACTTATTAATTGGCGTTTTACTTGGAATTTCAGAGCATGTGCCACGTGCCACTTTTGCCACGTGCCATTTGCCGCGTGCACCACGCATGTGTACATTTCTTAGAAAAATTAATTATTTATCGTCTTCGAGTACGACCGATCCCGCAGACAGCTAGCCGGAACGCGGGGCAAGCAAGCTCGCCCCCGCTCGGGTTTTCACCTCTCCCGAGCAGAGTGGCCCTCGGTGTTTTGGTGAGCACCACCACTCCCGGGCGGATTGGTTACCCCCGGTGCTACGATGGTGTTTTTCATGCCGAGACACTCATGGTGTTCGACGAATACGGCCACAGGTTTCCCCGTGCACGTAGGGCTTCGAGGCATGGAAACTCGCCATGCCTGCTGCTTTTGACCAGTCGCCCCCGAAAACCCCCGCTAATTTCATTGAATCGTCTGTATACTTTTAAATTCTTGTCTTGTGCTCTGATATTCCTCGTTCGACTAGTTCTATCCGTAACATAGGGGTTGAAAACTTTTCTCATTCTTGGCTTGTAATTTCTGTACAGTCTGCTAATTTCGATGCCTGTCACATGGCTTACAACGCTGACTCATGACTCGAATTCAACTCTGGTCCCAGAGGAGCATGTCATAAACCTGGTCTTTGAGGAGCCATCTACGCTTGCCGGTAACTGCTGCTAGTAGCATTTCAAGTAGGAAGAATTTTTGCATTTCTAGGTTTGTTTGCACCAAGTTCATCGTTGTATGAGGACGGAAAGAAAGGAAAGATGTAGCTCTGCCACTTTTTAATAAAATTAAAAAAGAGCTACAGGCAAAGCAAGGAACGCAAAAATTTGACCTACTAGGAAGACTAGCACTAGAACTACCATCCAGTCAAAATGAGATTTCTCATTTTATATTACAAAATTTTATTGTCGTGACTTTATGGGAATGTCTGTCATATTTTGTTGAGGTAAAAACTAGTTCTATATGTTACTTGATGCTTAAGTATTTATTTATTTCCCTTTTCATTTTATTTTTCATTCTACGATAAACGAGCATTTAATGTCGGTAGTTTTAGTGTTAGTGTCACCAGTTACTGTAGACACTCCCTAGTAAGTAATGTAGACTAGCAAGATTAGTGCCACCAGTTACTGCGGACACTCCCTAATACCTTCTTAAAAAATTCTTTTTCTTTTTGAATGAATAATTTTTAACATTTAACATTTTAACATTTCCAATACCCTTCGCTCACAAGCGGTACTCATAATCGATGCAACTTGAGAGAAGCGTAGAGAGGGATAAACCCCAGAAATTCCTGAAACACCATATCACTCGAGACATTATTGACTACATCGTTCTAAACCAGCGAACGTTAAGCAGGGATTACTGTATATCACTGTATCCTCAACCGTTTCATTCCCTCTCGCTAATTCCACATAATCTTCTTACAACTTGCTTCGATTCCTATTCGCAATCACATGTACATTTTTATCGAAACGGTATTAAGACGTTCTTCGATGTAGGTCGTTTGCAAAGCGGCTGCACCAGTTCTCAAGTACTTTCTAGATAATATTTTATGATACAGTTGCTAACAAGTTTACTATTTTAACACTAAACCTACCGACATATAATGTATACTTACTTTGAAATTAAAAATGAAGTTGAAGAATAAATAAACAAACGACGAAACATAAATTAGTACACACATTTGTTCTTTATCTTGATGAAAATCAATGCTGATTTCAAGGAATGTACTTTAACAAAATGTGTAGCTTATAATAAAAAACTTGTGAGGCGGTCATTTGACCGGTTTGGCAGTTTTAGTGTTAAGATAAATTTGTAATGTTCCATTTTAAATCTCAGAGAGCGTATTATATATTAAACGTATGGAGCGAAACCTAACCCTTTGCATTTCAAAAAATTGGAAATAAATATTCAACTGTATAGTATGGCGTAAAAATAGTAGAGAAATAGTAATCTTAAATGAATTCGGCAAACTTAAAAAGTCCTAAAGTTGGTACATCAAAAATAACTTTCACTGAGGGTTAATAGAAACTCAAAGTCGGTTGATATATCTGATATTTTTTGGGATTAACGAATTGTTTTTTCATTTCACTGTCAGCTTTCGCTACTAGCTTCCTCCTGTGAATATTTATTCCGTCCTTTTCAGGTTATTGGTTTCATAGTTTGACCTTTTCTCTTATTCGTCTCCGTATGATTAGATCGCGTATTCGCATTTCTCTGTACTCTTTGTTCTTTTGACTGATCTTGTATCTTATTCGATTTCCGCGACTTATTCGTTCTCAAGTATTCGCTTTTCACCTGGAATTGTTCTCCCACTTTTAATATGCACCCTCAACAATGTCTTTTATACGAATCTCTTTTTCATTGAAATGTTCTCTAAAACGTTCTTTAGAGGACGAAATTCAGCACGCGAAATCTAACCTCAAAATCATGTGTGCACACTACGCTACATAAGTATTTCACATACTCATAACTCCTCAAATATAACACTTCATATAAAACAGAATATAAAAGAGGAGAAACATTTTATATAAAAGTATAACGAAACAAACATTATAAACCGTTTAAAAAATGGCAATGAAAAAAGCTTTCTTCTAACTTCTTTTTTACGAAGTTTTATATCAATTGGTAAATTTATATTGGTTTCTTATTGACTCAAGTAATGTACAGCAAACATTTCGACCCTGATTTGGGTGTTTTTCGTATACTGTTGATTGACGAGGCAGGAAGCGAAGTTAGGATTCTTGAGGGTGGAAAGGGGTGCAAAAACTGATATAAGATTTTCATGTATCCTCGAAAAACAGTTACGAAGGGAATAAAACGGAGTACAATAAGGAGAATAAAACAATTTGTTCGGAGCCCAATTGTCGAATAAATATTGTAAGTAAATTAAAATACCTTTTGCTCGGGGGAAAGTGCCGAGGGTAAGTATAAAATGATAGCATGACTATAGAACTTAAAATGGAACTCGTATAATCAATATCCGACGAATTACAGTTTTCGTGATCTTATAGGTTATAAATAGAATTTACTCAGAAAGTGATTAACCTAAATAATTTCATTTTACCAACATTAGTATTAATGGATTTAGATGGAATCAGGATTCGATAAAGGATAAACTTTACTTACGCCCATTATTTTCGAATATCATGCTATTATCATAAATATTGCTTGCAAATAGAAGATGACCAAGATCTTATGTTGTATTAAAGTAACATGATTAAAATAGTATGGTGAAAGCAGTATATCATCCCGTTGTTTTCATTTTTCTCGAATTATAATGTAATACGTTGTGAGATCCCTGCTCTATATTCATTGAATTTCGTTTTATCGCCATATTATTTATTTTTAAGGCATGCAGTCAGCAATTTTCTACGCGAAGCAATCTTTGATGACATCAAAAATGCTGAAACAACGTTTAATACGGTCGATACAATACATGGCTACATTAAATGTAAAATGTAAAGCATTTGGGAAGACGATTAAAAGAATTTGTGCGAATAAAACTGTACTTATAAAAAGAATCTGCGAGTCTAGAAACTATTTTTATAAAAAGAATTTGAGGCGGATAAAAACTATTTTTCTGAAAAGAATTTATGTGAATAAAATATTCTTATTTTAATTTGTGTGGGTGAAACACACCTTCCCCTTTATGAAGATAATAGAAATTATATCAACGATTAAATTTTGTCACTTTTATTTATAGCGCAAAATTTGTAGTAAAATACATAATTTCAGATCTGAGATAGTTTAGAAAGTGTGTTTTGCTACTATTCAAAAAATTCGACGTTTTATTGATTTTGTGTTTCAGGCAGTTTCTGATTTGCTGCTCGGCGTTTTCTGCATACCTTTCACTCTTCTTGGACAAGTGCTAAAGAATTTTGTCTTTGGCGTTACTATGTGCAAGCTCATACCTTATTTTCAAGGTATGTACCTTATAATTAAGTATTTTTTCATTTTTCGATACATTATTCTTTTCTTTATGTATCTTTTCCGTGGGCGAGCTAATGACTTCTTGTGAGTCATTAATTCAAGCTATTAATGATATTTGCGTTATACGAAAAAATTAAGTATTTTCTTAATGAATTCCTCGTCACACTTTTCTATTATCATACAGTTTATGTTCCGTACAAAATTTAGCGAATTCAAGTTTCTTTAAGTGATTCTAAAAATAATAATCTAGGAACTTTATCGTTAATTAATTTTAGAGTAAATATGTATATTTGAATTGTTAAATTCTACAATATAAATAATGTATTATAAACAGTATAAACTCTACTTCTTATTATTAGATTTTTCATACTAATTATTCATACTTCATTTAAGTATGAAATTACATTCTCTTTGTTATTTATTCCTGTAACTTAAGAGAAATAACACCTGAACGTAATTAATATCAAAATATTATCAGAATAATTATTCAAGCTGCTTCTTGTCAATATTTGATCAGTTATTGCTCATTATAATTGAATTATAATGTGTTCGAGATACAGAATACGGTAAACAACAGCAGCATTAACAGTCATGACCCCTGCGTAAACACGGATTCATGTAATGTACATTTGTAAACAAATACAATATGCAACAGTTTTCCCGATATTGCCATAAGATATCACTTTTACAAAATAGTTACATTTCATAAATTAATCCTTTACGGTCGCATGTCTGCTCTCACCCACCACAGAGAACCATACTAATTTTATACTTTATTCAACCACAATCAAAAACCAATTTTTCGACGGGATCTAAGATTGTTGGACCTAATGTACCTGTTCATTGCACCGAACTTATCGACTTTTTCGGACTCTTTTTCACACATACACTACTTGAAATAATTGTACTAGAAACAAATAAATATGCCAAAAATAAAACAGAACAGCAGAGCTTATCTGATCGATCAACATGGAATAACTGGATCGATGTGACGAAAGAAGAGTTAACAGCTTTTTTGGGTGTAATCTTTAACATGGGTACTATATCAGATCCTAATATGAAATATTATTGGACTGAGGAACATGTTGCGAACATACCATTTTTTCGAAATATATTTCGAAAGGAAAGATTTCTCCAAATATTTTGGATGTTATATTTGAATGAAAATGTTTCCAGAAATGCAAATATAACGACGAGAATCTAAAAACTGAGCAATTTTATCGATTATATTGATGGTAAATTCACAAAAGAATTAATAAATCTTGTTTATCCTTCGTAATCTTACATGTTATGTATCACTGCTCTTTCAAGGGAAATTAATTCCGACCAGTACTACACCCATGACCAAATTTAATACAACAGAGGGTTACGGCAGAGGGTTAACTCTTTTCTAAAATTCTTTTAGAATTTGACAATTTGATTTGTCAATTATACATTTCTTCGTGATGGAAACAAATATTCAGAAGACGCAGAAAGGTCTTCGACAAATCTGGAAATTATATAAAACTAGTGAAACTTTCCCTTCCTGAAAAGATGCAGGTCAAAAATAGTTTTATTTAAATTTCTGTTACAAAATTAATTGGATTCATTAGCTACTTTAAAACGTCGCAACGTATATAGTTAACAAATTCCATTTCTTTACTTAAATTAGGCACTATTTAGTCTCAAAATGAGGCTTCTTCCTTATATTAACTTGAAACATTTCCTTCGCTATGTCTCCGTAATGAGGAACCTTCATTACGGTTAGACGCGCTGAATTATTAACATAACGAGAGTAAATGAAGGTTTATAAACTGCCAAGATCATGTTTTTGCTTCCTCAAATATTCTGCAGGGGCTAATTTATAAATTTGTTGTTCATATTTAAGTACAATTAGGTTCGAAAGTTTTCAGACACTCATTAATAAAACTGTAACACTTAGAGTTCATTAATTTTAATGAACGTTAAAATACTTGTATATTTATTTCAGATTACTTATTACGGTAACATAGGTGCAGATACAAATTTACTTTGCGTGTATAATAACCTAAATACAGAGAAAATGCATATGTAATATTTAAATAATAAGAAAACAATATACTTACAAAAATTGTAGCATGAATAGAATAAACATAAAAGAAGAATAAAATAAAATGACCAAAATAAATAAAATAAACTATATAAACCTTATAATAATAAATGTAATAACCATATAATAATAAAATATAAAATAACTATATTTTATATAATAAATAGAATAATAATAATAAATAAAGTAACTAAACCATAATAACTAAATTCATACACAATAGATACAAATTATAATCCAATCAAAATAAGATAAAAAATGTAAACCGATTTCAACATGCACTAAAAGTAAAAAAATAACTTTTCTTTATGCAAATATGAAAAAATAGCGAAGAAAAATTTATTAGTTTACTAAATAACATATTAAATGTATAACAACCTCAATAGTGATACGAAATGAAATTTTCCTTTATAAGAATTTTCTTAAGCTTTCACAGAACGATTTTTACAGTTTTAAAATAAAGTACATTGTTGAATTTTTATAAGTGACAATAATAATAAAGTAAGTTAAATAATAATGAAAATAACGGTCAACAGATATGTTCGCTTTAAAAAAGTTATAAATGAAACTGTTTGCAATCATATTTCACAAATATTTTTAAAGCACGAATCATTTTCAGTCCGATTTATCTCTGCTTTCTCGGTAACGTTTTCCAGTTATCATTTTACAGAATATCCGTTTACAATACCGATATTTGCATTCCAACATTACTTTGTAGAGCCTCTGAAATCGATAGCCTGTTCGTGTGTATGCTTTTACTTTACAAAGTCCTAAAACAAACACGCAATCGTTGATTAGTGGATTCAGAAATCGAAGGAGTTTCAGTGACGTACATTAAATTAATTATAAATTGTCTCTTGCATATATTAACACGTTCAAGCCGGGGCGAATATTTACATTTTTCTCCGTGGGGCGGGGCGACATTGTTACTTCTTTGAAGCTTCGAACGCGCTAAATACGAGATCAAAACAGTTTTGGCATGCTTATAAATAAATAATTGTTATTAATTTAAAATATTGAATGTTAATGCTTATAATACTCAATTTTTGTTTATAATGTTGACAAAAAATAAAATAAACTTATTTTTTGAAAACTTATCTATGATGCACGTCGCCCCACGGGACAATTAAGTGTGACCCACCGGTGGAATACCGAAGGCTTTCATAATTATTTCATTTTCCCAAAGCTCTGCAATAAATACTAAGAAAAGCAACATTAAGGGTTTATTAAACTTTTAAATCGCTTCACAACTTTTAACTATCCCTTTAAAATAAAATGGCTACAGCATCGAAGGTTTCTAATAAAGTAAATTGCTTACGAAGGAAAGCCCTGTTTGATGAAAACACATTGTGACACCGTGACAGGTGAGATGCACCGTTATGCAGGAAATTGTCCTTGTTAACGAACACTTCTTAACGAACACACCTTTAAAATTAACTTCTTGTAAACAAATAATAATGAGTTTACATTTCCTTCTATTTATCAAAGTTACGTTATTACATTGCAAGTTCTCGAATAGTTACATTATTAATTGTACGACGAGATTTAGATTATAACTTGTTTGACTAAGTACATCGTGATGTATATAAAAAACTACATACGAATGCCAACTCACGAGTTGGCGCATAGATGACCCAGATGTTCAGAAGAGGCTCTAATTGGTCGGAATAGAAAAATGGACGACCCACACGTATTTTCGACGGTATATTGGCTCGAGAGGTCACACAGCAATTAGGCCAAAAATAATGACAGGCAAACGTCTCGAGAGTGAGATAGTGCGAATTGCGTGATGCAGTTATTATTGCCATTATTATTATTTTCCGAAATTTAACGCTGGAAGTGTTCACGGTGGGGATAGAGCTTCTTTTACATTGGTTCGATCTCACGCGCCAACACGTGGATTGACATCTGTAGGTATATCCTCTATAAACACTGTGTGACGGTATCATCCGTTTACTCTGTTATTTCTCAAAGAACATCCCTGTTATAATATAGATATAAATCTACTACACTTTAATATGATATTCTGTTGTGCAATCGAGAACAAATTAGACTTCCCTAAGGGAAATGAAACGCTTATACAAAACCATATCGTTTTTTAGGGATTTTTGAGAACTTAAAATGTTGGGGGTGATTTAAGAATTTGGAGATATAGTAGACTGAAGATATTTGGGTTTAGGAATAAGTTAATCTGGAATTTGGAATTTAAATAATTTAGAATATAGGATTCGGAATTTAAATAATTTAGAATATAGAATTTGGAAGTAAAATAATTTAGAATTTGGAGACCTGGGGATTTCGGGACTACGGATATGGAAATTTTGGGATTTGGAGATTTAGGAATTTGAGGACGTAGAGAATTAAGAACATAAATATTGGAATTTGAAAATTGACGGATATTGAAATCTAGGGGCTATAAGTTGGAGAATATAGGATTTTGCGATGGAGAAATTTAGGAAGTTGAATATTTAAGGATTTAGGAATTCGAATTTGACAAATTTCGAATTTGGCAACGAAGGTTGAGATATTTAAGAAATTCGAGAAATGTAAGAAACAGATAAATGTGAGAAATGTGAGAAATACGAAAAATATGAAAAATATGAGAAATGTGGGAAATTTAAAAAATTGAAGAAATTTAACAATTTGGAAATACAAAAATTAATAAATGTAGAAACATAGAAAATTAGTAATTAATGTTCACGGTGTAGGTAGAGCTTTTAACTTTGGGTCAATCACACATCATCTCGTGGATTGACATCTGTACATTGAATTATGTTTCTCTCTTCTACAAATAACATGATATAATTACCGTAGGTTAATTAAGATTTACATTCATTTGAGAATAAAATGAAATTTTTTCTGAGAAAATCTTGCTTGATGTTAATACTCTCAGAATTGTCGATTTCAAAACAGTGAATAAAAATT